ATGAGAATATTGAAAAGTCTTGATAGGTGCTTGCTGAATGGGGCTGCCTTCAAAAAGTACCCTTGGCTCGTGTTAGACACTTAGCAAGGGTTGCATCTGATCATTGCCCTATTGCTTTCAAGATATTGGAGACACAATACAAATCTCATTTTATAAGATTTGAAGAAACTTGGAAGTCATATCCAGCGGATTGGAGCATTGTATCTAATTCCTGGACAAAATCAGATTATGGTAATGAGATGGATGTTTTGCAAAGGAAGTTAAGAAGATCTTTGAGGTCCCTATTTTATGGAGCAAGAACAAATGCAAGAGCTTGAATATGTTAAAAGATGAATTAAAGAAGGAAATCTTTGATTGACAATTGGAAGAATCTACACAAGGCAGTTTGCCTGTAGAAAAGCTAAATTAACTCAGAACTAAAGTGCATGAACTCAATGTAACTTTAGGAAGACTATCTACTTGGTGGAACCAAAGAGCCAAGGTAAGATGACATGAAGAAGGGGAAGTAAATTGAAACTTCTTTCACAGATTTGATTCAGCTAAAAGAAATGGCAATCTTATTAGACAAATTAAAGGTGAAGATAATGTCTTGGTGGACAATTTTGAACAGATTTTATCTGTTTTCTAGATTTTTTTTGAAAAAAAATGGAGATCCAGAACATGCATCCTTACGGGATTGCCTGCTTTCCTTGATAACCAAAGACTTAATTCTATGGATATAGAATTTCTAAATGGTGATTTCACTTAAGAGGAATTAAAAACTGCTGTTTTTCAGCAAGGAAGAAATAAATCTCCAGGACTGGATGGGATTACACCTACATTCTTTCAATTCTTTTGGAGTATTGTCAGAGAATCAACATGGAAAGCTGTTGAAAGCTTATTTAAAACTAGTCACATGAAGGATGAATGGAAAGACACATTGATCGTATTATCCCAAAGGTGAAGTATCCTATGGTGCCATCCAATTTCAGACCTATTATCTTATGTCAAACCACCTATAAGTTGGTCACAACTATGTTGGTTATCAGAATTAAAATATGTATCTCCAAGATCATTTTGAAAGAGCAAGTTGCTTTTATCCTCGGTAGATCAATGTCTGAGCATTGTCTTCTTGCTCAAGAGATCTTCAACAAATTAAGGACCTCAAAGGAAAAGAAGGGATTGATGGCAGTGGAATTAGATATGGAACAAGCTTTTGATAGCATGGGTTGGCCAACATTGTATCAAGTGTTACAAACTTATGGATTTCCTAATTTTTTTTGTAAGATTATCATGGAATGTGCCATGAATGTTAGATTTTCTTTCATTTTAAATGGAAGACTCTCTAGTTGGATCAAAGCTAGAAGTGAGCTTTGGCAAGGCTGCCCATTATCTCCTTATTTATTCATCATGTGTTCCCAGCTTCTATCTCATGCAATAAATCAAAGAGGGCTGCTTTTGGGAGTTAATTTAACACCCAAAAATAAAAAATTACACATCTATTGTATGTAGATGATGTATTAGTTTTTTCCCAAGCTTCTTCAAAAGCAGCTCAAGAATTGAAAGCCATTGTGTCGGACTTTTGTATATGGTCTGGACAAAGAGTCAATGATTCCAAATCTCTGATTTTATTTGGCAAGGCCGTGAAGCTTCCAATGAAGAATCAAATAAAGAAGAAGTTGGGTTTTAAGGTGGTGAAGGAGATGCTTTATTTGGGTGTTAAAATTGCTCTAAGAAGATTAAGAAGATAAGATTTTCAAGGTATGATTGACCTTATATTAGAAAGACTCAATGCTTGGGGAAGCAAACATCTATCCATGGCTGGTAAGATCACTCTTGTTAAAACTTCTCTTTTAACCATACCAAGCTTCTTATCAACTCATTCTTTGATTTCAAAGAAAATATTATATCAAGTTGATCAATTCTGTGAAGAATTCATTTGGCATAAAGGCTTGGGGAAAAAGGGAATACATTATGCTGCCTGGGACATATTATGCAAACCAAATTTTGAAGGTGGTTTGGGAATACAATATGTTGTCTAACGTATGGGGCCTCTTAGATCAAGGTTAGTATGGAGATTCATTCAATATCCAGATAATTTGCTACATAAGAATATTATTACTAAATATAGTGATAATATTTTGAGTGAAGAAAAGAAAACTGGATCTTCTATGGCATGGAAAATTTTGCTAGACGGTGGAAATTCACTCAAATATATTGTGAGATGGAAAATTGTTGATGGCAAGAAAATAAATGTTATGAAGGATATTTGGCTCTTGGATAGGTGCTTCAACACTTGTCCCACTCTAGCTGCTTGTGTGGAGCTGAGAGCATAAATCTGAACTTCTTCATCACGCAAGACTGCAGATGGAATGAGAAACTGCTACATCAATTCTTTAATAAAGAACTTATTGTGCTGATTTTGCAAGTTAATATTGATCATGAAGCTGATAAAGATTATTTGGAGACTATGCATTGCCACAATGGTAAATCTATCACTGCTATGGCATATGAGGAATCATTGAAGAGGCATCCTAAGGAGGAAGATTACGATTTTATAAGATGGCTAAGAAGTTTAAAGCTAAACCCAAGAGTTGAGCTTTTCTGGTGGAGGATAAGAAAGTTTGGTATTCCAACATTTGAGTTTCTTAAATATAGAAAGCTAAGCCACAATGATTTATGTCCAAGAGGCTGTCAAGATGTAGAAAACTATGCTCATATTGTGGCACATTGCAAATTCATCAAAGAAATCATTCTTAGATTACGAGAATGGGGCTTCTTTATTCCAATATTTCATTCCTTAGAATTTTTTTTTTTTTGAAGAGCTTAGAGGTCTTTCATTTCGGTTTCATAACATGGTAAAGATTTACTTCACATCTATTTTTCTATGTTGGAAAAATGGAAATGATTTGGTACAAGGTAATTCCGTGACCTCTAGTGCATTTGTTGCAGCAAATGTCATGTTTTCGGCCAAACAAAATTTGTTTCCAAATCTAGATAGTTGGGGTGCTAATCTCCTAAGGGAGTTTACTAAAGTTTGGCACCCTCCACCGCTAAATTGGATCAAAATAAATGTGGATGCTTTATTATTGGAATCAAATCAAGATGGAATTGGAGGTGTATTTAGAGACCATAAAGGAAGATTATTGTTGGCATTTGGGAAGAAGAAACTTCATTTGGACATCTCTCAGCTTGAGTTGGAGGCTGTTTTGACAATAAAGGATTTCATACAACCTTGGATGTTAGATGCTAAAGGAGTGATCATAGAAGGAGACAACATAAATATCATCAACTTTATTCAAAATTCTTTGAATAAATTGTAGTGGGATTTCAACAAAAGGTATAACAAAGATCTCTTATTCCATAATGACTTCAATAAAGTATTTTTTAATCATATTCATAGAGATTGTAATAATGCAGCGGATGGTTATGCTACTTTAGCTTTAAATAACAGTTTTTGCTTTGATTGTTACTCTTTTGCACACATTCCTTCTAAATTGTCTAGTTTGTTAAAGAAGGAATGTGATGTTTTCTAGTTCTTGTAATTAGTTTCCCTCCTTTAATGCAATTTCTTTAAAAAAAATAAGGAAGCCATTAAGGCATAATCCTACTCTTGGAAGAATTCTGAGCAATTTTTAAAGTATCTAGACTAATATATTGTTTTTTTCCTTTTTCAAATATATTATGATTCTCAGGCTAGTTCGTTGGATCCTTCCTCTTATGTTAGTGGCTAGAGGTGTCAATATTTAACACGACCCGAAAGCTCGACCCGAACTCGATCTAGAAATTTCAGGTTTGTGTTGACCTGAACTCAACTGGTCCAGTTTGGGTTCAGGTTTTTGACCCATTTTAAAAATCGGGTTGGGTTCAGGTTGACCCAAAAATCTAAGATTAACTTGGAATGAACCGCACTGCCTGCACTGATCAAACCTACCCACGACTGACCAGAGCTGCTCAGCCTGCTTGTTCGAGTCTCAAAGCCTCGCATGGCATCCCGAGGCCAACATCTCAGACCTGCCCGTCGTGCTGACCACTTACCCACCTGCCCGCATCCTATAATCGGTCGCAAGCCCTCTTCTGTCGGTCGCAAGACCTCTTTTGTCGGCTTCCACTACTGCTGGCCCACCGCTGAAGGCGTTGTTGTGTTTGCGGTTGGGATCCAAAAAATCAACCAGTTTGCAAAAACGGGACGAATCCGGGTTGACCCGAATAGTGCCAGGCCAGTTTTAGGTTCGACCCAAACCTGACCCGTGACCCGAAATTGACATCCCTATTAGCAACTGCTCTTTGTTTGCTAAGGATTTAATTTCGGTCAGACTATGATGAAGCATGCTTCCTTCGTGCTTCTCTGGATAGCCTTGGCTTTGCTTTGGTGACCTTGGTGGGCTTCTCTTGGAATCTGAATGTTTTGTTTGCTGGTTTATTTGTGGATGTTTCATATTTTTTTGTTTGCTGCCTTTATGGATGTCTTGTAGCCTAGGCAATTGAGTTGTGCTTAGTCTTAGCTGGATATTTTTTCGAGAAGTTTCACATTGCTTCCTGAGTCTAGCTGGCCCTCGAGCCTTCTAGTTTTATCTCATTTATTCTTCCTTAGCTTTTTTTAAGGTTGTTTTTCAATTTTAGCTTTATTTTGGTACGTAACGTTATACAACTTATTATTTTGCGTCCTTTTTATATTATTTCTTTAATAATAAAAAAAGAGATATTTATATACATATCATCATATACTTCTCTATTTACATATTTAACATCTAAAATTTTAATATTTTATACATACTACCCATAGTTCATTTTCATTGAGTGATAGAAATGAAATATATGAGTGGTAGGAAGAAAATATTAGTATATTTGATATTAAAATAATATAGGGTGATATATATGTAGTATTAAAATTTTAGATATTATATATATATAAATAAAATGATATAAAATGATATGTATATAAAATTCTCATTAAAAAAAAAAGCATGTTCGGATAATTTTTTAAAAAAAATAAATAAATTTTACTCAAACTATTGATTTCAGCCATTCTAGTCACCCCCTCACTTGTCTGACGCTGTTGTGAGTCTCTACTCTTTTTTTTCCCGAGATGTCTAGCGAACCACCGGCAAGCGGCGGCGGAAGTGCCGGGTCGCAACGGTATTTCTGCCACGAATGCAACCGAACCGTGGTGATCGAACCTTCTGCCTCCGGCGAGCTTGTTTGCCCCATCTGTCATGGTGGTTTCATCGAAGAATTTGACCTACCAAGCCCTGGTCCTACCCCCAGCCCTCCCATTTTCTCTGTCAATCCCTCCGCTGCTCCCTTCTATCCCTCCGGCTCTCCATCACCCTTTTTCCTTTCCCGCTCCACAAGTTTTGACCTTCGCAATTCCAGCGACCTGTTCTCCCTTATTGGCCCTGAATCTGGCCTCTTCCGCTCACCCGTCGATTCAGGCTACTTCTCCTCGTCATCTACTGGATCTGGCAGTGGCCAGTTCACTTCGTCATCCGCCGGCCCTAACCCCTTTAACCCCTTCGATTTTGTCCAAAGGTACATTCAGACCCTTTTGAATGACGGAGCCAATATCCAGATCGTCCTCGAGGGTGGCGACCATCTTATCGGTAACCTCGGGGATTACTTCAATGGTCCGGGCCTTGAACAACTTATCCAGCAGCTCGCTGAGAACGATCCCAACCGGTACGGCACCCCGCCGGCGGCCAAGAATGCCATAGCATCTCTTCCTGATGTTAAGATCGTACCAGACCAGCTTGATTCAGATGAGGCGCAGTGTGCCGTTTGCAAAGAGTCTTTTGAGACGGGGGAGGTGGCCAAGCAGCTTCCTTGCAAGCATGTATTCCACAAGGACTGCATTTTGCCATGGCTGGAACTCCACAACTCTTGTCCAGTTTGCCGGTACGAGCTCCCAACGGATGATCAGGACTATGAGCAGCGAAAGAGTGATAGGAACGAAGCGCCAACGTCGGCTGTGGAGATGGAGATCGCGAGTTCTGGTGGTTCGAGTGAGACACTTGCGGGATCTGAGGAGCAGAATGCCAATGGGCAACGGTCAAACCCGGTGGAGCGGAGGTTTAGGATATCGCTACCATGGCCATTCAGGGGATTAGGGTCTCAAGCTAATGCCAACAGTGCAGGGGATGCGCAAGGTAGTGCGAGTGGGAATGATGAAACTTCGGGCGGCCAAGGAGCTTCTGGGACGGAGAACAGGCCATGAGACTTGGATTAAGGAATTTAAGGTAAGGTTGTTGGGAATTGATTGTTGTTTTTCTTTGTTAGCAGTTTCTTCTCTTTTGCAGTAGACATTTTCAGATTTTAATTTTCCTGATATTTTTATGACCATAGTTGCATTTGGGTTCAGGTTTTTGAATCCAAAGTACATTCTTGCCAATTAAAATGCACTATTACCTTTATTGCTTTTAAACTGGTTAAGTTATTTACCTGTTGGAATATCAAGGATGAAATTAGGTTAGAACTAACTTTATGTCAGGTTCAATATGCCTGATCAGTAAATGCTTTGAAATTCGTGGTTATATTTTCTAGGTTATTTACTAATGCATTATTCAATAACAACATTTTCAACTTCCACCATTAACAGAGATTGAGGTTTCTGTCTATGCTGACTTTTTTGCTCTTTTAGAAGGTTCTGGTTGTGGAGAATGGAGATTCATTAGATGCTAGTGCAGTTAATAAAATACATGGTATGACTAATGTAACTGCAAGAAATTGGTTGTTTTTCAATAGAAAAATCTCTTGGAAAATCAGTAAATTTTGACTGAAAACATGTTTCCAATGGATTTTTGTCTATAGAAAATTTTTACTAATGAATATAAATCTATTGAAAAAAAAAAAAAAATTGGTTGATTTTATGCGAATAATTGTTGGAAGCTATATGGGGAAAAGCGATGGAAAATATGCCACAATGTGCATTGGAAACAAAATAGGTGGAAATGATTTGATGAGAAAAAATCCGGCAAAATCATTTTCACCGGTTTTGTTATCGGCACTCAATGGATGCCAGTTTTGTTCTCAATGGATATTCCTTCAATTTTCTATGTCAAATTTTGGCAGATTTTCCTTAGAAACATGTTAGTTTGTATTTCTTTATTTTTTTTTTTATAATTTGGGTAACACCATCTCTAAAACTTTAGTGGTCCATATCACAACAACAACAACAACAACATGCCTTTGTACCAGTATGTAGGGTCTGCTACATGAATCCTTTTTTGCTATTGTGTCATGTTAAAAGTCAAATTCTCATTTAAATCTAATAATGAAAGATCATTTCTAATGTTTTCTAATCAAGTTTTTTTAGGTATGTCTCTAACTTTCTTAACATAAGTCAAATCTAATACCTCAACTTTCCTAATCGGGTCAACAGAAGGCCTCCATTTAATGTGACCAAACCATCTAAGGTGACTCTCTCTAATCTTATCTTTCATTGGAGCTACTCCAACCTTTTCACATATATGCTCATTTTGTATCCTATCTCCAAGGGTAAAGCCACTCATCCACGTAAACGTCCTTATCTCTGCAACACTTAACTTAGTATTATGTTTCTCTTTTAATGGCTGTGGGCTCCGAAAATTCGGCCCCGGCCTCCCCGCCGCGCTTTTTCTTTTATTCGGCTAGGGAGTTTTAACTGAACTAAGTTCCGGGGTAAATTTTGGAAGGCAGATGGGTTTGTAGATAAGACACTACCCAGAGATTTCGCCCTCATTTTGTGAGGACTTTATGATCTGAGTTCTGGTTTCCTATAGGCGCAAGCCTCTATAGTTAATTACCCCTCCCGATCACGAGAGAGAACTTTCAATTAAGGCTAGTCGTCAATTAGATTCGTATAGAGATACATGCATCTGGCATATAGTAGCAGCATAAGTATGGAATGGTTGAAGAATTTGAGAATTTTGGAAAGTAGTTGGGAATTTGAAGATTTTATATTTAAAGTAGAAATTTCACCATCCTGCATTTAAAGCGGATGGTGGGGGAATGGATGATAGACCCGATCAAGATCCCATGGTTCCGTCGTCCCGAGCCATCGTGGTCCCTGGTTTACTTAGTCAGAGGAGGTAGTCGACCCAACCTGACAGAAATCCTTGTCGGCAGCCATGGGTTGCTTCGTCCAAGGGAACCTTGTAGACCGGGGTTGAATGTTTGTCTAAGGGGACAAATTTGAATCCACCTTAGCTTGCAGAGAGCTTTGTGCCCTATCGATTATATCCTATTGATTCATATCTCAAGAATTTGATGCCAATAAGGAACATAACGGCGTTGGCCATAATCGGTATTTCGTGGTGCCATTTGGCGGCAAAACCACTCGGTTCAGAGGGCCCCGGGTCATAATCGTTTATCCTGCGGTGCCATTTGGCGGTAGACCGCCGGTTAGAGGACACGTACCACGTCCTTATTGGTAAGAGATTGTTTGAGAATGGATCATAGTGATATTTTTGACTAGGCATTTGACTCTTTGTGAGCTAGAGTTTATTTGAATTTGTCCACCCCGACAGACTGTTGCAGAGGGTGGATGGGTTTTGCTTTAAGCATTGATGAATGATTTCAAATTTAAATGTTTTTGGGTTTTTGGGATTTTGAGATTTTTGTGGAGTTTTCTGGAATTTTAGGATTTTTGTGGGTATTTGGGTGGAGTTATGAAATATTTGAAATTGATTTTGGATATTTTGGAGATATTTGAAAAATATTTGGGAAATCCCTCCGGTTGAGATTTGCATTCAACACGGCCATCATCGGGGTGTTCGGAGCCATTTCTCCTTATGGATCGAACCTTGTCAACTCTGTCGGGCTGTTGACAGAGGATCTGGTTTCGTAGGCTTTGTGCCCTTATTAGTGAATTTATATTGTTGTGGACCTTGAAGGCCTAATATGAATATTTTAGAGCAAATATACCGGTCGCCACAACTTTATATTTGCTTAATGGTTCGAACCCTGCCGACTTCTATTGACATGTATAGAAGGATCGGTTTCGAACCTGAATTCACTTGTCAACCCGCGCAGCATCCCTAGACGTCACATGTGTACCAATTCACTTGTCAACCCTGCCGACTTCTATTGACATGCCGGGGCCCATGCGGGTTGAGATTGTACTTTCCCCTTTAGTGTACCTATGTGTATACAATTTATAGTGCACGTGCAGGGGTATTTTGAAATAATTGTAGACGCCTTCTGTCTGCTTGTACGAATGTTGCAGATCCGGTGGCGTGAAATAGCAGTTCATGGATCCGTTGTTTACTGTTTTGTACAGGTAAACTGTCGTGCACTATTTGTTGATTTTTGCAGGCGGATCATAGTGCACTAACTAATCTCCTGCCTTGGGTCGTAGGAGCTTGCACTTGTCGTATTCTCCATGCATTTTATTGTGGTCTTTGATCTGTTCAGTACATTCGCCACTGTTTCTTGTAGGTAGGTAGATATTTTCCTTTACAGACTGGAATTGACTTCAGGATACTGCATTCACTGAAGTCTTTCTACATCTACTCATATATGGCATGTTATACATACATCTGTATTCGTAGAGAGCTTGTATGTATTGCAGATCTTTGGTGTTGAATCGTTGCTGATCATACGAACTTCCACATTATACTCCATGACCTGTGCGAAATCTTCTTCTATTGTATTACTTGTAAGGTTGAATATGGTTGACTGTAGGAGTCTTACAACATTCACTATTATGCTTATTGTAACCTCTCAATATTGTTCTATGTTGTTATTCGCATATTGATTGACATGATCATCGTCTTCATCAAGAGCCTACATTGTTGCCAATATTATACCTACCTTTCACCAATCTCAGGTGGTTTGATGGTTGCATTTATTGTGGTGATGGGTTTTCCGCCATAAATTAACAGCTTTGCCTTCTTTAATCAACACACAATCTTGTAAGGAGCATCTTTTTTTTTGTGTTATACATCTCCATTTGTAAGAAGGCGATGTATCTGACTGCCATTGAAGAGTTGTTGAATGAAGACAATGGCCCTTGTGATATCATTGAGCTTGTATTGTTGCTTATGAGTGAGCCAATAATTTATTTATAGTTGGGATTTTAACGAATGTCCTTCCTTCATTCATTGATCTCCACTAGCATAATCAAATTTGATGAGTGATGTTAAGATAATTATACATCCACTTGATTTTCTAGTTATGATTCAGATCTGAGTTCATGTCTACTATGCTTGATCCGAATCAAGTCCCGGTGTTTGGATTCTTCTGAAGTCTAACTCAAATTCTTGCTTGAGTTCAAATGTTTGAATCAAGTCCAATTTCAGCTCTTTTGTGTTCGTTTGGGTCTAAGTCCAGTTCATTTAGTGTCAAGCCCAAACTCCTTGGGCTCAAGTTCTTATAGTTTCGTTGAGTTCAAGTCCAAATGCACGAGTTCAAAGTGTTCAAGTTCACAGATCCTTTGATGTTCAAAAGCTTGCAAGTTCAATTTCAAGTTCTCTTGTAGTTGTTCAAAAACTACAATCTCAAGTCAATGCTCTTTGTATTTGAGTTCAATCAAGTTCTCTTTTGGGTCCATGTCTTGTTCAAATTCAATGTCCACAAGTTTTGAGTTCAAGATCATGTTCTAATCATTTGATTTTTAAATCAAATGTAAACTCCAAATCTTATATTTTCAAATTTATTTGAGTTTAAGTTCAATTAGGTCTATTTGAATCAAGTCCACAAGTCCAAATACAAGTCCTTCGCAGTTCAATCAAGTTCAGATCTCAAATTGTTCAAGTCCTTGGATTTTCAATCCAAATTTCGGCAGCCTCCCGGCGTCTCCCCCGTTTAGGGGAAAAACCAAGAGGCCGTCTACCCGCCACGTCAATAAAGACGTGCACGGTTGGTGTTGGTGAGACACCGCGGCAGTTGTATTTTTGTTTTTCTCCCACCACGCGCACTAAAGGCGTGCTTGGGGTTTTAAAAAAATCATTTTTAATAAAAAGCAGTTTTTTTATTTCCCCCCGCTTGGGGGTACTTATAAGCGACCCCACTTCGCCGTAGGTGCCGCACCGGGGTCCCATCCCACCACGCGCACTAAAGGCGTGCTTGGGCGCCTCGGGGGTTTGCCGGCTCGTTGCAAGCTTTGAAGAGGGATCCTTAAATCGTCGCAAGCATCGCATCGGTTTCCCACCCTCAACGCTACGTGAGCGCCTTGGGGGTTTGCCGGCCCGTCGCAAGCATCAATAAAAGAACCTTTTCTCTTTTTTTATTAATAAAATATTTTTTTTATATACATATA